GGCCAATCGTTCAAAATATGTCATTAGTTTGAGTTTAAATGTGAGCCGAAACGGCCAGCCATTGATCCGCCACTGAATACGTGCCAAACGTTTGGCCGATAAATGAGTTTTCAATGATATGTAAGCCATGAAGAATTGAAATACAAATATCATAATATTGGTAATGATAGCTAATATACATGTAATGATCTGGACATCGATGGTCTGGGATTCAAACAGCAATTGATGCCAACACAAGAGATTAACTGGTGTTAAATAAAGCAATCCGTAAAATAACAATTGACTCCAAAACTGATTTAATTCATAAATCCATTGGCAAAACATATTGTGTTCTGTGATATAGTGGCGGACTTTTGAGTATAAATTCATACGTTTAGTTTTAATTAATGTGCCATTTTTATTAAACATGGTACCAATATTATGATTAATCGCGTCTATTAATTGAACCCCAAAATATAAATTAACAAATAGTGCATAAGCGGTAAAATAAGCATGTTTTTCATTTAGGTACAATAGAAACATGGTGATTGCTATGGGTATAATTGAAATGAACAATTCCCGCACAGTATAGTTTTGTACGATTAGATTTACCATGAATATTGCACTGATTGAGTCTATAACAAACATCATTTAAATTATTTAAATTGTGTTTAATTCAAAAATTAATAATTAATATAATAATAATTACTAATTATTTACTATAACAAGCAATGTTTTAATACTTACATAATATTACACATATAATTGACCAATATATCTGAATTTTTTTGAACCAAGTAAATAGTTTATTTAATGTATCATGATCAATATTGCTAATTAAATGATCAAATTGTGGTGTTGTTTGATAGCCATTAATAGCGTAAACTCCAATAATCCATGAGTTTGAGTGATTTGATGAATTTAAGATACTTTTAAACATGGCTAAACCAAATACCATAAGCAATATAAAAGTGACCTGGTTGTATAACTTTAAACCACCAATAAATATCGTTATATCAAAGAGTAGTTTCTGTGTCTCGTAATCGCAATTCATTGAAATAATTAATTTCAAACAATTTATTAAATATAAATAATATATCGTTTTCTCAGTTATTGTCGGCTTTTTATTAAATAAATATTTGCTTTCAAAACGTTTTGCAAAACTCTCTATAAAATCCATGTTTAATATTATTTTAATAATAATTTTGATTCTACATTGAAATACTTGAAAATTCATACAAATTTTAAAAGCTTTATTAAAACGCTAAAATATACTTTTAATTCAATACTTGGCATATATTTATAAAACTCTGTGTATTTATAAAATTTTAATAAAAGTAATAAACATAATTTCAAAAGTAATTTATACTTTCCATTGTTTTTAAATAACATGCACAAACTTCATTAATTTTAAATGATATTATATTTGACACAAAAGGCAAATACTTAAATAAATCAAATTAATTAAAGCACATTATTTTAAAGTGTTTTTGATATGTTTATTATCTCAACCTATAAATTAGCATTTGATGAACACATTTAACAATCCATATTATATAAGTAAGTGCTTTAAAAATGTTGAAAACAAACTAAACTAGATTGTTTATTAACCATACAATACGGTATATGATAAAGAGGCGATAAGAGACACAAATATACTAAAAAATACTTTATATTCTCGCAATTGTCAGAATATAGCATATAATGGTATAATTGTGGCAATTATGCATTATAATATAATTAGAATCTATTATGTTTGTTTAAAAAGTTATAATTATAATAATTGAATTATAATATTTTAATCATATTTCAAGTTGACAAAACTAAGCAAGCATAAGTTATTAAAGAGTCTACAAAATTTTGTCGTTTGCCAAACCACTACTTAATCTGGTATTGATTTTTTTGGTACAACTTATGGCAAACTTAAAGATTGCCGAAACCAGGAGTTATGAAATCATTTAATACCTAAACTATTATATTTATAATTTAAATACAATAAACTATCACTCGTTTATGAAAACAACTTTTGTTTTAGTAGTAAAACTTCCGGGAAATAAAACACAAATAAACACACAATTCATAGCATTAGTGCTATTAATATAACATTTAGATCTTAAACAACAATTATTGCTGTGTTTAACACTAAATAAACTATTATTTGTATTATTTATTTAAAACAATTTACAACATGTATAAACATTATGGTAAACAACGTCTGGCAAATCTTATCGGCTAAAAATATAAGCTTAATGTGTCTGCACAACCAATATTAACACAGGTACAGAATATCAAAATAATTGATCTAGCTCACTTTCGCAGCAGAATATTCTTTACTATAGCACTATTAAGATTCAAAATAAGTGCTGCTAAGCAACGGGGGATGAAAACACACTCACAATGCGTGGCAATGATTACTGTTATGCAATACAACACTGATATGTACAGTGATGCTCAAAAAGCAAGATGATAAACTTAATTGATATTGATTGTAATTCATTGAATGTATAATCAATAGCATAATTAAATGCATAACACTATTAACCACTGAATATTTGTCCATTAATAATGTCGAGTAAACGTGAGTTAACGATATTGTTTGCCCCCCTCTGCTATGTCGGCGAAATGATGTCTTCAGTAGGCATTGGCGAAGTGCTGAGGAATGCCGGCCACCGGTGTGTGTATGCCGTGACCGGCGACTGGCGGTCACGGCTCGAGTCCATGGGCTTTGAGGTCAGACTGAAAGGACAGTTGACGGACACGGAACCGGTCGCCGATTCGGCCGACGATAACGTGAAGATCGCTTTAGACGCGGGTCTTCTGGACGATAAGACACCCCTCGAGAAGGCTATCGATTGTAACAATTTTAATATGCAATTACTCTTTGATGAAGAAGTGAATACCGAACCATATCTGAAGGCTATTATAGCCGATCTGAGGCCAGACCTAATCATCACCGATCATCTGATAGCACTGCCATCGATAGTCACATCAGGTATTCCCTGGATATTCAGTTGGAGTAGTAATCCTCTGGGTTTAGACACCGGGTTTGCCGATCCATCGCTTCCGCCCTCAATGTTGGGTACGATTTATATATTTTGTTAATTAATTAAAATATTTTCTAACCTTTAAAACTTTTTTCTCAATTATAAGGTTTGCCGACAAATAGCAGCGAAGAGAAGATCCAAAAATACCGCCAACTAATCAACGACGGGAAGCGCGAGCTGTGGTTCAAATACAGGGACAGACTTACGGCCAGCGGGTGTCCCGAAGTGAAGGACTTTCTGCTGTGGACTCCGTCTCCTTTCGCAAACATATACATAACACCCTTAGAGCTCGACTACACAGACGTCAGGCCATTGCCCGACACTTTTCACGGCTTTGATTACTATAAGCGATCGGGAGATCAGGAGTTGGCGTTTGAATTGCCGGCGAAGTTGGCCAACAGATCGGGAAAATTGGTTTACCTATCGTTGGGTTCAATGGGCGGCGGAAATGTCGCTCTAATGAAGAGATTGGTCGCGATTTTGGCCAAATCTCGGCACCGGTTTATTGTGTCGAAAGGTGTTAAGCATAACGAGTATGAATTGTCGGCCAATATGTGGGGCGAGCGGACAGTACCGCAGCTGCGAGTGTTGCCAATGTGTGATGCGGTGGTCACTCACGGCGGCAACAATACTGTCACCGAAACCATGTATTTCGGGAAACCTATGGTAATAATGCCGTTATTCGCCGACCAATACGATAACGCACAGCGAGTAATGGAAAAAGGGTTTGGTTTACGAGTCGATGCCTGGAAGTGCTCTGAAGAGGAATTATTGCAATCCATTGATAGCGTATTGAAGAACACAGTTATGGCCGAAAAGTGTGCGAAAGCTTCGCTTAGGATTCAAACCGAGAGACGGATTGAGAAATTAGTTGATTTAGTCCACAGTTTAGTTAAATTATAAATAAAACATTGTTTTTATAAAATATATCATTATCTCTCTCTCTCTCTCTCTCTCTCTCTCTCTCTCACACACTCTCTCATTCACTCATCAAATAATTAAATTAAAACACAATTTTATAAAACAAAATATAATTTCCTTTTAATAATCAAAAAATAATAATAAAACTTGAATTAAAGAGAAAAACAATTCATTTAGCAATCGATTGAAGGAATTGAGAGAACACACGAAGAAATTAGGTCCCAAACCAGTCCTCCAATCACTGGCCATCAGAGCGCTGACCACAACTACTTCATCAGCGCTTTGACCACCGCTTTGGCGTTCAATTGTTTCAAATCGCGGTACGTCTGGCCGACGCCCACGAAGACAATTGGCTGTCCAGTGATATACGTCATCGATATGGCCGCTCCCACCTGATCGTCAATCGTGTCGAACTTAGTCAACACAATGCCATTGATTGCCGAGGCGTTGGCCGTCACACCGCGGCAGCCATTATCCAACAGCGAGTTATTGAATTTAGTCAACTGATCCACCGCTTCGTTGCCCACCAGCGCTTCGCCCACGAAGAGGGTCAGGTCGGGCTCGTTGATCTTGATCAGTTTGGCCAACTGTTTCATGAGGGGTTCGTTTCCCTGCATACGTCCCGCGGTGTCCACCAAACAGCACCCGTAGCCGGCGGTGCGCGCGTAGTTAATGCCCTCCATAGCGATGGCGGCGCTGTCTTTGCCGTAGCCCTTCTCGAACAGATCCACTTTCGACGCCTGCCGGCCGTCCCTCTCGTGTATATTCTTGAGTGCAGTGATATGTGTGCGCAGCTGTTCTATGGCGCCCGCCCTGAAGGTGTCGCACGCGATGACCAGCACTCGCACGTTGTTTACGATCAGCCAATTGGCTATTTTGGCCAAATTAGTCGACTTCCCGACACCGTTCACACCGCAGAACACTATGGCGTACGGCGAAGACTTGGCCCGAATGTCGCGCAATATATTCACGTTACGATTGGGCGACAGAATACGGAGTATCGAGTCCTCCAACGATTGTCGTACGAAACTCTTCAGTCCGAGCCATGTGTTCATCTGTTGGCCGACCAGTTTGGCCGACACACTGTCGCAGAGTTTCACCGCTATCTCTGAGGCCACGTTCTTAGCGATCAAATGGTCGCGCAATTGGTTCAGAATGGGCTCTAAGTCGGCCTCCGTTAGCGCCTTATTATAGTTGAATGTCTTGAGAAATGAGCCAAAAAACGACTTCTTGGGCTTCGAGGCGGCCATCACTTCCTCCTCCTCTTCGTCGTCGTCTTCGTCCTCCACTTCAAACTCGAGGTCCGGTTGCATATCAAGCGAGTTATAGGCGGCCATATCGGAGGCGTTGGCCGTATTCTTGGCGATGGACGAGGCGTTGACGGTGTACTCCTCCTCATCGCCCGACAACTTCTTACTAAAGTCCAAATTCTGGGCACTCTTACCGCCCAAATCCCAGACCCGTTTGCCCTTCTCTTTCTTCACCGGTTCCTTCTTAACGGCGGCCGACTTCTTGGCCTTCGGCGACGTTGTGTTCTTCGCCGCCATTTGTAACAACTTCTTCTGGATATCCGTTTGGGTGGACTCGCCGTTCGCTTTGGGCGACGGTTTGGTGTCCTCTTTGACAGGCGCTGCGGCGGTCACAGCGGGCGCAGCAGTTGTGCCACTCTTGGCCTTATCCGACGGCTGGACTATCATTGAGGCCACGGTTTTCTTGGACTTCAAGCTCTGGTCAAATGAGCGCATCTCCGCCGCCGTCTGTTGTGATTGGGTTTTGTAGCAAAAGCCGTAAACTTTGGCGAATTCGGTGTCAAAGTCGACCAAATTGGTGGCCAACAGCGGATTCAGACCACTCTCGGCGCTAATACCGTTCAACTTCTGGTGTTTACCGCCAACACCTCCGCCACCGCTACCGCCGGCGCCACCGCTGGTCGCGTGCCTCCCATCGGCGGCCATCAGTAAGGCGTGCCTCAGATCGTAATCCTGGTATTTGTCGCGAAAGGCGAGTTGGATCTGCTCCAAGAACTTGTCCACGTACGACAGCGTCAGCATCCGTTGATAGCCCACAACGAACACCAATTCAAACTCGTTGTCCATCCGGTACTGCAGGGCGAGGGCGTCGGTGGTGTAGAGCTGATCCCTCCTGTCCTCAAGTATGACATTCTTGATGAGCCGATTGATGGCGGCGTTCATACCGGCGGCGATTGTCTGGTTAACCGTCGCGAACAATACAATACCCGACTTGGATATGATCACAAAGAAGTCCAACATTGTTGCCTATGGGAGGGGTCACGTGATTGGATCAGTTAGTGGTTAAGACAACGTTAAGACATACGTAAACACAATACACACGTGTGTTGTGTTTATTATCATTGATTACTTACTGTTGTATTTGATTATCACTTAATTATAACGAGTTTTTGTTTGTAAATGAAATGTTTTGATTGAAATCTAATTTAAATGTATTATAAAAACGTGTTTTAATTTAAAATGAATGTAAAAAAGTGTTTAAAACACGAGTTGTGTTGCAATGATGTGTCGACTCGACTCTACTGTTGAGTAATACTGTTGTTGTGTTTACTGTTGTATTGAATGCAATGTCAAACCCTATGCTGTACTGTGTGTGCAGTGTTTGTGCCACATATGCCTCAAAATACTGTAACTGTAGTTTCAGTACAACTTTCAAATTGAAAGTTTCAATGTTTTTTGCTTCAAATATGTTCGTAAAGTACGTGCAGAATAAAAGTGAGTGTCTATGTTAAAACATATAGACTCCTAATAGGGGGCAGTAAATGTTTGCCCCCTATGGACAGCAGCACAGCATTCATAGGCCTCTAATAGATGGACGTATTGTGTGAACGTGTGATAAGTGATGACAACACTGCAAATCAAAGCCATTCATACATAACGTGCAGTATTTCCTATGAGAGCACATGTGTTGCGTTAGACATACAGATTGTTTGCATCATAAATGTGCCGATATTTGTCCCAAACAGACAACACAACAACACATCCATTGACAGACACCGAAGAAGTAAGCGATGTTAACACCGGTTCCCGAGTCGATCAACTTCGCCGAAGAGGAGGTGAAGATACATGAGTTGTGGCAACGGTTGGACGCGTTCAAGACATCGTTGAAACAGTCGGCCCAACGGCCGCGATATGTCTTCTTCGACGGCCCGCCGTTCGCCACAGGACTCCCCCATTACGGCCATATACTCACGAGTACTATCAAAGACATTATCCCCCGCTGGGCACACATGTCGGGCCATCACGTGGAGAGACGGTTCGGTTGGGACACTCACGGACTGCCCGTTGAGTTCGAGATCGATAAGGCGCTCGGCATCACTGGTCCCGACGATGTCCACCGTATGGGCATCAGAGCCTACAATGACGAGTGCCGTAAGATTGTGATGCGTTACGCCTCGGAGTGGCGACAGATAATCACCCGAATGGGCCGTTGGATCGACTTCGACAACGATTACAAGACACTATACCCGACGTATATGGAGAGCGTTTGGTGGGTATTCAAACAGTTGGTCAACAAAGGTCTGGTCTATCGGGGCGTGAAAGTGATGCCCTACTCGAGCGCATGCAATACCCCTCTGTCTAACTTCGAGAGCGGCCAGAACTACAAGGAAGTGGTGGACCCGTCGGTGATCGTCACCTTCCCGTTGGACGACGAGCCGGACGTAGCGCTGGTCGCGTGGACTACCACTCCGTGGACACTGCCCTCCAATCTGTGTCTCTGCGTTCATCCGGACTTGGATTACGTCAAAGTGAAAGACCATAAGTTGGACAAAGTTTTCGTCCTAATGGAGGCCCGACTCGTGTCGCTCTATAAGAAGCCCGAAGAGTATACAGTTCTCGAGCGCTTCAAAGGCCAGACACTGCGGCACCGGAAGTATCGGCCGCTGTTTCCCTACTTCGAGCACTTGAGGACTGCCGGCGCGTTCATTGTGTGCTGCGATACGTATGTGACGGCCGACAGCGGCACAGGTGTTGTCCAATGCGCGCCCTATTTCGGCGAAGACGACTACCGCGTGGCTCTGGCCAACGGTGTCATCAAACGGGACGGTGAGGTCGTGTGTCCGCTGGACGCCAACTGCCGATTCGTGGCGCCGGTCACCGAATACTTGGGTCAGTACGTGAAGGACGCCGACAAAGAGATCATCAAACGGTTGAAAACGATGGGACGACTGGTGAACAGCTCTACCGTTAAACATAGTTATCCGTACTGTTGGCGGTCGGAGACACCGTTGATCTACCGGGCGGTGCCGTCTTGGTTCGTACGCGTGGAACAGTATTCGCAGCAACTCTTGGAATCAAACGCTTCCACGTATTGGGTGCCCGACTTTGTCAAAGAGAAACGCTTCGGCAATTGGCTCCGCGAGGCTCGCGATTGGTCGGTCTCCCGGAACCGCTATTGGGGAACACCTATACCGCTGTGGGTGAGCGCCGACGGCGAAGAAGTGGTGTGCGTGGGATCTATCGAGGAGTTGGAACGGCTGAGCGGCCAGAAGGTGACTGATCTGCACCGCGAGAATGTCGACGATATTAAGATACCGTCGCAGACGGGCCGCGGATTTCTCACGCGAACCACCGAAGTGTTTGACTGTTGGTTTGAGAGCGGATCCATGCCTTACGCTCAGTCGCACTACCCGTTCGAGAACCGCAAACTCTTTGAGGACAACTTTCCCGCCGACTTTGTCGCTGAGGGCGTGGATCAGACTCGCGGCTGGTTTTATACGCTCGTAGTGTTGGGAACACTACTGTTCGGCAAACCTCCCTTCAAGAACCTGATCTGCAACGGACTCGTGTTGGCCGCCGACGGCCAGAAGATGTCCAAATCGAAGAAGAACTATCCGGACCCGATGAACGTGGTCGACAAGTACGGCGCCGACGCGCTGCGCCTGTATTTGATTAATTCGCCGATAGTTAGGGCCGAGAATCTGCGCTTCCGTGAAGAGGGCGTCAGAGATATCCTGAAGGATGTGTTCCTTCCGTGGTATAACGCCTACCGATTCCTCGTCCAGAATATCGAGTGGTTTGAGAAGCAAAACAATGGCATGAAGTTTACGTACGACTCGGCGCTCGTCAACCAATGCGATAACGTTATGGACAAATGGATCTCATCTTTCACTCAGAGTTTGGTCCGCTTTGTCAAGAAGGAGATGAATGGTTAGTGTCTGTTGTGTTTGACATCAGTTTTTAGATTGAATTTATAGATAATTATTGTTTGTTTTTGTTATCACTCGTTGTATAGCCTATCGACTCTATACAGTGGTTCCACGACTGATAAAATTTGTGGACAATCTGACCAATTGGTTCGTCCGCATGAATCGGAAGCGCCTGAAGGGCGAAGAGGGTCGGGAGGACACCAACAAAGCCCTCCACACACTGTACAGCGTATTGATGACAATGATTGAAGTGATGGCATCGTTCACACCATTCCTCACGGAACACATGTATCAGAACCTGAAGCGACTGAATCCGGGCAAAGATGTGGCCGAAAGTGTCCACTATTTACTGCATTCGCCGGTCAGGGATGAGCTCATCGACGAGACAGTGGAGCGTCAGGTGTCACGCATGCAAACAGTGGTAGAAGTGGGACGAGTTCTTCGCGACCGGCGAACACTGCCGTTGAAGTATCCTTTGCCGGACGTAGTGGTGGTCAGCAAAGACGAGACCATTTTGGCTGACGTCCAGACCCTCGAGCGGTATATAATGAACGAACTGAACGTCCGTAAGGTTATAGTGACCACAGAGAAGGAGAAGTATGGCGTTCAGCTGAAGGCCGAGCCCGACATCAAAGCCCTGGGCTTACGGCTCCGCAACGAGTCTAAGGCAGTGATACAAGCGATCCGAGCGCTCACAGACGCCGACCTCCAGCGCTATCAGAACAGTCCGGACGGCTTCCAAGTGGCCGGACATGCGTTAGAAGCGGGAGATATTCGCGTTCAGTACACGTTTGGCGGCGATATGGCGGCCGAACTGTCCGACCAGTACGAGGCCGAGAGTGACGGCCAGATACTCGTGTTGTTGAACATTAAGCCGGACTCTGGTATGCAGGACGAGGGCGTCGCCCGAGAGATCATTAATCGCATCCAAAAGTTGCGAAAAAAGGCACAATTGGTTCCGTCGGACGAAGTTGTCGTCCACTACGGGGTGGATGCCGTCAAGAGCGCAGACTTGGCCCGAGTTATCACACAATTTAACGAATTCATAGCAAACACGTTGAAAGCGCCGCTCAAACCGATGCCCGTGACTGAGGGCTGGCATCTCGTGATTGCCGACCAGCAGACCATCAAAGACGAGGCCATCGACTTTGAGATCGTATCGCGTGACCAACGGCTGGCCAACGCCGGCGCCGCTATAGACACGGCTGTTAAGACACCCGATGCTAAAGATAGCGCCACTAAGACTGCGGGTGCGGCCGATAAGAGTGGTAAAGGAGCCGGCGATACGAAATTGACTAATGGTTTGCCCGTTAAGAGTGGCGGTGCGACCAAACCGGCGAAGACTAGTTCCAATAAACAGAGCGGTGATAGCGGTTCCGGAGGTATGGTCTCTGAGCCTCCGTTTTGCAAGTATTTGAATATAGAGTTGTGTAATAAAGAGGGAAAGTGTGACCGAAAGGCAACCGTTTTGTTGGAGAATCCCGTCGGCGACTACATTACCAGCGGTGAAGAGTTGGCCTCTAATGTAATTATAATGATTTTTCTCTCTCTCTCTCTCTCTCTCTCTCTCTCTCTCTCTCTCTCTCTCTCTCTCTCTCTCTCTCTC